AGTCTCTCATTCTTGTTGTTCAAGATGTGAGTCCTCATCTTCTGCAACCATGCCTTCACTTTGCTATCATGCGCTCTCACCATCTTCAGTCAAAGCCAAAACAGATTTTATCAATGCAAATTAATTTGTCAGTCTTGGTATATTATCACATTAGAAAAGAAATAAACATAAAATTTCAGAGTAGTAGTAATTTATAATTTCCTGATGGCTAATTATGTTGAAAATTTGTTTAGGTCGCCTGTTTGTATTTACTATTTTTACATATTCCAATTTTCTATATTCCATTTTAATTGTTATTTCTTCTTAAGTTTTTGTAGTATTTTGTGTACTTTAGAGACTAGTCTCTTGTTAGACACATGATTGATATATGTATTTTACACTCTCTAGGCTGATTTTTCATCAAATAGCATCCTTTGTTTTACAGAAGTTTTAGTTTTGTGAGGTACCACTTACAAAGTTCTTGATCTTATCGCTGGTACTACTATTTTAAAACTGCTGTCGTATGCCTATGAATTCAAGTAGATTTCCTACTTTATTTTTATCAATCTAACACTATTAAGTAATGTGTTTAGGTGAATCTTGTTTATTTTGAAAGATAATGATTTAATAGCTTTCTTTTTTTCTATTTTTTATCATTTTTTATTTTAATTTTAAATAGCTTGTTTTACATGTCAATCCCAGATAATGAACTTGATGTCTATAACCATCTGGGAGCCTTCATCCTGTGACTGATGGAAGGAGAGGCAAACACACAATTAATCACTGAAATGAACCCAAGGAACCCAGTGACAGAGAGAGAGAAGTGGTGAGCAAATTGGCAAAGAATGGGCTGGCAAAACCAGCAGACACAGCTGATCTGAACAGGGGAGAGCTCTTGGACCCAAGACCGACAGTGGGGAGGCCAGCATGGGACTGACCTGGACCCCCCAAATGTGTGTGTCAGTGAGAAGGCCTGGGAAACCTATGGGGCCCTGAGCTGTGGATCAGTGTCTATCCCTGGTATACAAACAGTCTTCGTGTGTCTATAGCACAAAGAGAGATGCTCTCTCAGCCTGGACTCTTAGGGTAGTGCCTGGACCCTACCAAGAGTAAAATGACAGACTCTAGATATCCCCTATGTGGAAGGATATGGCAATAGGGTGGGAGGGTGGGGGGAAGGGGAGTGCGGGAGGAGGGGAGGGAGAGGGAACTGGGAATAGCCTTCTTTTAATGCAGCTATTCAGTTTGAAACCCACTTCTTGTAGATGCTCTTTCTTTAATAGATAATTTTCATCTCTTTTTCAAAACTCAGCAGGTGTAGGTATGTGGGTTATAAGTCCTCATTTCTATTTTCTTGAGAATTGTGTCTGTGCTTATGTCAATACCATGATTTTATAATAATAGCTCTATGATATTACTTAAAATCAGTAAAGCTGCTATTTTATCAGTTCTCTTGTTGTTCAGGATAGTTTTGACTGCACTAGTTTTGTTTTCTTTTCATTTCCTTTTCTTAATTTTTGATGTGTTTGATTCCCATGTTTAATTAAAAATTAATTTCTGTGAAAAAATGGAATTTTGATGGTGATTACATTGAACTTGTAATAGATTTTCATCAATATTAATCTGAGCAATCCACGATCAACTTCCTATCTTCTGTTTATTTTTTCAATGTCTTGAAAATTGATTATGGTAAGTCTTTAATTTCCTTAGTTAGAATTATTAAATTTTTTGTGCTATCATGAACTGGATTGCTTCATGATTTTTTATTGATATGCTTGTCATTTGCACACATGAATCCCTGATTTTTTTGTATATTAGCTTTAAAGTAAGCTCATTTACTGAATTTATTTATTAGTTTTGGGAGTTTTCTGGAGGAAAACTCTTGTAGCCTACAGATAATGGTAATTCCTTTCCTAGTTGCACCTAGTTTATCTCATTACTTTGTCTTATGGCTCTAGTTAATACTTCAAGTACTATATTAAACAGGAATCAGAGAGTATATGTCCTTGATTTCTTCATATTGTAGTTGAAATGCTTTGAATTTTCTTCTTTTAGCAGAAGGTTGCTTTTATCTTGTTTTCATTATGTTGAAATATGCCCTCAATATTCATATATTTTTTGGGACTTTATGTTGAAAGGATATCTGATTTTGTAAACGGTCTTTTTTAATATTTAATGAGATGTTAGTATGGTTTCAATCCGTGATTCTGATCATGAGATAGATTGTGATTTTATATATGTTTAACTATTCCTGAATTAATGGGATGAAAGTGACTTGATATTTTATGTATCCTAGAATGTGATTTAAAAGTATTTGATTAAGAATAATTCATCTTTGCTCATCAAAAATATCATTCTATAATTTCCACTTAAAATAGAATAACAGAAGAAATGAGAAACATTACAAAAGATATAGCAGATATGCAAAGAATTAGAGAATTTGCTGCTCTTATTTTATTTCCTAATTCCTGCAACAAAATAAATACAAGTATTCTTGCCTCTATTATTGAAATTATTGAAGGTTTTTTCTCATAATTTTATTTGATTCCATTTCTTTTCTGTTATTAAAAATAGACTTTCCTACAAGTCATTGGTGGCAGCACACAGGAGGCAGAGGCAGGCGGATCTCTGTGAGTTCGAGGCCAGCCTGGTCTACAGAGCTAGTTCCAGGACAGCCTCCAAAACAGTACAGAGAAACCCTGTCTCGAAAAACCAAAAAAAAGTTGACTTTCCTATACAATATATTTTGATTACAATTTTTCTTCCTCCAACTCCTCTAAAATATGCCCCAATTCCTCTCTCACCTGAATCCACTGATTTCTTCATTGACCCTTAAATTCAAATGGGCTTTAACATCCTCCAAGTATTTATGTGGTTTCAGACTTTTCCCTTGTTCTTGGCTTGTTTATTTTTCATTTTATATAGGTATATTGTTAGATATATTATCAAACTATTTCCTCCTTCCCATTTATTTCCCTCTCAGCTTCTCTTCCTTGAAAAATCTCCCATTTCCCCATTCTGAAGTTGATATGTTTTTTCTTTGTCTTTGACTATTATTATTCCATATAATGCCATTTTATAAGATGCAGGGAATTACTCAATTGATATTTTCTGTTAATTCTTATTTTGTTGCCTATTATGCAGTCAATTTAGGTAAAATTTTCATGTCGTATTCAGGAAAAAAATCATGAACTATGTGGATATTTTAATTCAATTGATTACTGTATAATTTATTACTGAAGTTTCTTTGATGAATTTTTGGTCAATTATATTATACATTTTTGAGAACTGGTACTAAGTCCCAACTGGTATTCTCCAAGTTCCTGTGAGGTGTGATGTCCATAATAGAGTTTGTTTTATGAAGTTTGGAGCTACAAAATTTTTAGTAAATTAACACTAACAATATTTTATCATACTTTGATACATCATTTTCCTTATTGAGTTATAGTTGCCCTCTGTGTCTCTTCTGACTAGCTGTTATTTGCTGTTTACATTGTTATGTGTAATAATATAACATAATCTTTTCTGACTTTTACTTACTTTTTAGTTTGAATTCTGTGGATTTTTGTGGTTAGTCTCTTGAGTGAATACTAAAATTTTCAAAGTTTTCATCTATTTTTAGTTTTTTTCATGCAATTCTGAGTGTCTGCATGATAAATTTACAGTTAATTCATTAAATTGTATATATGCTTGCATGAACTGACTGCAGCAAACCACACCACAAATAAAGAAATCTGTATTACAAACGAAAATGCTCTTAGGAATATTTACTGCTGCCCATATATGCACCCAAGCTCTTACTGGAACTAAGGAATTGTGAATTTTTTCCCAGGGAGTTTCATACATATATGAGTTAGATGGACATTCATGAGATAGATTTTATGTATAATTTTCTGATGATTTACTCATTTAACAGACATTCTACTTGATAATTAGGTATACATACTCTTTATGAGTGTTTGTACCACTATAATCATAAGCATTATTGCTATGACCTGTAGTATTGCTGCATAATAGTAGTTCAATATCTGGTTCTTTGCAGGAAGTGATAAGATAACATCCATTTTATGACTCAGGAAATGACACAAATTAGCATCTTGAAAAAACACAAACAACAGGAACTAAAATATATGGAGTGTGGTGGAAACAGTCCTCTGAATATACCAGGGAAATTCTACGTTGAGAAAGATTTTATCTGGATCAGATGGTAGACAGTAAGCCCAAATTTCCCATATACTGCTGTGTTTGCCAAAAGCAGCAGAAGCCCTAATTAACAGCAAATCTCAAGTAAATATAAGCAAAAATGTTCATATTTTGTGTGTGTGTGCACCTTGAGCTTGTTTTGTCTATAATTATCTATAGTGTTTTAAAACATCTGAAACAAAGTTGTGCAATAATTTTTCTGTATGATTAGAATCATATAAGATAGGAGTTGGTGGGTTAAAGGATTTAAATAAATGCTCCTGATTCAACCGAGCCTTAATAATCTTAGTAAACTCATTAATATTTGTAAGTGTACTTGTTAAAATCTGTCTTTGCCTTCCTTATTTGAGGTGAATAAGAGTGTATTGATGTTCACTTAATAATAACTGACTTAAACTTAATATCAAATAATGCTTTATTTTGATGCACACATACATACAGGCAACTTTGCAGAGAGTATATAAATCACACTATAACTCATAAATGCATATAATAATAATTTGTCAGTTAATTACATATATGTCAGTAATAATTCTCACTGAATCTAGTTTTCCCCTTTCAGTCTCTGTTTATATGTACTGGGAAAACAAATTGCATCTAGCAAGTTAAAGGAATGAGTCAAACATCTGAGTCCTATATATAGTATCATAGTAAGAAAACAATGACAAGACGACATACAAGTTATATTGCATTTCATCTGATTATTTACAATCATGTAATGGAGGAAAATATACATTCAGACTCATTTGGAATGTTATTAATGTGACTTATTCTGAATAACTAAGTCCAAAGCCAAAGATGTGGTTGGAAATAATCTATTACTGATAAAATTTCCTCAAGGCTTCCATTATGTCGCTATTCCTTAAGCTATAGATAAAAGGATTCATCATTTGTGGGACCACAGTGTACATCAGTGAAGCTATTGCAGTACTTCTTGTAGAAATAGTCAGAGCAGAGCTAATGTAAACCCCCAGAGCCGTACCATAGAACAAAGACAAAACTACCAAATGAGAAGCACATGTAGAAAAGGCTTTGTATCTTCCTTTCACTGAAGATATTCTGATAACTGAAGAGACAATTTTTGTATAAGAGAAAATTATTCCAGATATTGGAACACCACCAAATATGAATGTTGAAATATATATCAGGATGTTATTGATAAAGGTATCTGAACAGGCAAGTTTAATTACCTGAGCAAGTTCACAGTAGAATAATGGGGTTTCCATATCACTGCAGAAGGACAACCTCAGTAACATCAGACCAAGAAGGAGAGTGTTTTCAAGGCTAATTACAAGGGACAATATAATTAACCAACCACAGAGAGTGGGGTTCATGATGACTGCATACCGCAGAGGGTGACAAATGGCCACGTATCGATCATAGGACATCACAGCAAGGAGACAGTTTTCTAAGGAAGCAAATTCCAAAATAAAGCAGACTTGAGTGAAGCAGCCTGTGTAAGTGATGCTCTGAGCTTGTGCTTGCATGTCTACCAGAACTTTTGGGATGGTAGTTGAACTTAAACACATGTCAACAAATGAAAGATTAGAGAGAAAAAAATACATAGGAGTATGGAGGTGGAAGTCAGAACTCACAACCATGATGATGAGTAGATTTCCAAGGAAGGTGATCAGATATATGCACAGTAAAAGGCTGAATATGAGTGGTAACAGAGCTGGATCATCCGTTAATCCAACAAGAAAGAATTGCAGGGCATCTGTTTGGTTTCTACCCTCCATGATGTTGATGAATCTGATAAAAATATTGAGTTAGTTAAAATATAAGACCCACCACCAGATAGGTTAGCAGCACTCATAAACATACTCAAAGAAAATGTAATATAAAATCTTTAACCTCCCTCCACTCTTATTCATCACTATGTTTAGAAGTTGGTCACTGACAGTGTCTATTTAAAGAACTTCTCCAAATGTTGTAGATATGCACCAGATCTATATAAAATACACATTTAACATAAAAATTTTTACTTGATGTTGAGAACCAAAACATCTACTTAAATGTTTTCTTCTGCTAGGTTCTCTTTCTATTCCATTTGATTAAACTAATGTTATTATTCTTATTAGTTGTTGAAAACATCCTGTTTGTGAAAAATGTACTACTGTCAAATTTAGCCACATTGCTTTATCTGCCACTTCACAACTCCCCTCCCTTCCCAAATATTTCCTCTCTTATTATCATGTCAATTTTTTCTTTGTGTGCAAGTCAACTTCAGCAGTCACAGTTCCAAACATGGACACACAGAAGTACAAAAGCAACCATAAAAAATAAGACTTAAAATTAATGTGAACTTTGTTCCTTGTGTTATGCCAAAACCTAAGGGTACAGATTAAATTTAGATCATGGTTTATCAACCAAACCATTACATGCTTTCTAAAAATGCTGGCAGTTTCATAACTGCTTACATATCACTCCTTAAATAATGATTTCAAATTTTGTCTGACTTGATGATGTCAGAAATTTTTAGAAATTTTAAGATAGCTTACATAATTTTATAATACATTTACATGACTGTGTACTCAAAAAAGATGAGATTGAGAAGATTCATGAGGGCCTTTGCTCATCTGGAAAACAGGAAATGGCCCTTGTTCTGGGGGATACCTCTGCTCCTAGGAGACTGCAAATCTTATAGAACCATCACAAGAGGAGGGCACATAGAAGCCTATACAAAGTGTGGCCCAGAGTTTCTAGGCTTACTCCAACCTTCAAGGGTCTTCTCATACCCTAGATGGGAGCTGTTTGCTTTAATGAAATCTATCATTTTTGTTATTTTTCACCCTGTGCATGTCCTTGATTTTCCAAGCCAATGGATGAATTATTGTCGAGGATCCTCCAATGTGGACTTTCCACTCAGGAAAGTGATAGATATTTTGTTCTTCTTGCCTCTGATCTGTAATCATTATGTTGTGTCTGGATGCTCAACATTTCTACTTTAACACTAGAATTGTTAGTGACTGCTTTAGCATTCTGCTTCAAGAGTTCTATCCACTATTCTGTATCTGAAATCTGAAGCATGTAAGTCTATCTTCACTCTAAATTGCCACCAAACACCTCAACAAAAAGGTTACATGTAGGATGTGAAATAAATACAATAGTGATTCAAAGAGAATTGAAACGTGATGGTCTTGAAACATCTTCATCCATACATCATGAGAATTGACATATAATTTCTCTTCAAAGACTTTCAGTGTGTCTGGATTTATGTTGAGGTGTTAGATCCATTTAGACTTAAGTTTTCTGCATGCCAATAGATATGGATCTATCTGCAGTCTTCTATATGTCAGCATCCAGTTACTCCACCACCAATAGATGAAGATGCTTTCTTTTTTCGCTTGTGTAATTTAGCTTCTTTGTCAAAAATCAGGAGTTCATAGGTATGTGGGTTAATTTTAGGGTGGTGAATTAAACTCCATTGTTCTATCTGTCTATTTTTTATGCCACTACCTAGCTATTTTCAGGACTATAGTTCTATAATAGAGCTTGAAATCAGGGGTGGTAATGCCTCTGGAAGTTCATTTATGGTAGAGTTGTTTGGGATACACTGGGTCTTTTATTTTTCCATATAAAGTTGATTATTATTCTTTCACAGTCTGTAAAGAGTTGTGCCAGTATTTTGATGAGGATTGTATTGAATTTGCAGAAGAGAAAGTGGGAAGTACTCTTGAAGGAATTGGTACAGGAGACCACTTCCTGAACATAAAACCAGTAGCACAGACACTGAGATCTACAATTAATAAATGGCACCTCCTGAATTTCAGAAGCATCTGTAATTCAAGGACACAGTCAACAAGACAAAATGGCAGCCCATGAAATGGGAAAATGTATTCACCAGTAATATGGAAATATTAAGCTACACAAAATAGGTCTGTCCTGAGGTGTTTAATTGAGGGAGAAATCACTTATGTGAGAAGCCAAAAATGTCAAGAACCAAAGGTCCATGTGCTGCTCTCCAGGCAGCAACTGGAACCCAAAGAAAAGTGTCACCTCCACCTAGCTATTTTATCATCTGTACATTCTACATACCTGTGAACACACTCAAACAGTCATGGTCAATGCTATGGGTATGTAGATCTCTCTCTACAATTCCCCTTTTAGTCTAAAGAAAACATTTAGACTCAAAACAAAATTAAATTGTGTCAGTATACAAAATATCTCAAACATATATAAAGCATATATACATATTATGTGATAAATAATCTCCCTATATCATATCCTAAGCATATCTATCCCATCTAAACCCTAAATTTATCTGAAAGAGATGCCCAAGTCTGAACACCTCCTTTCAATCCCAACCCTAAATAATTGAAAACTGACTCTAACAGGTTTAATGTCAATAGTAGGGAAGGGGTATATTATTGTCAAAATTACCTCTTACTGAAATGGCATGGCCATAACCTCATGGGATCCTGTAGAAAGAAAACGTTAGTGGAGTGAATATCTCAAGTGAACTGGCTACAACATTTGCACTCAGTCTCTCTTTGATAGAAGATGCTTGATTGAAATTCTTAACTGAAGTTCAAATGTTGATTGAATCTCTTGTCAGGCTCCAGCCAAGTGATAGGTGCACCATATCAATTCATTAGTCTGGAGTAGTGTAGAGCAATGTAGTCCCAAACTGGTTTCAGGGTAGTACTTGTCAGTTCAGATGCATCAAATCATATCAGGTGGAATCAATGAAATGGGCCCCATTTTCTTTCCAAGGTATTTGAAGATTGCTGTTAGAAAATTCCTTGTTTCTGTGGAAATCTCAAACATTAATGCCAACAGTGAAATTTCAATTTTTATATGTATGTATGCCGGGAAAGGCAAGAAAAAGGAAGATACTAAATATGAGAGAAATTAGGCTTTCAGAGAAAGAACCAAGTATAAACAGAAGACAGTCCCTAGATTTATTTTCTTCTGTCTTACATCAGTGGACTCCTTGATATAATACAGAAACTCTGAATTTTATTTTAAAAAACATGCTTGGATTCAGAGAAGGAGAGCCAAGTTCAACTCCAAAGACACCTGTTTTGGGTGTTTTCCACAGTTAAACACTGAACTCCTGGAATCTATTTATAGAGAGGGAAGAGTGATGAGCAAAGTATTCAAGACCAGACTGGATAAACCCACAGAAACAGCTGACCTAAACAATGGGAGCTCATGGACCCCAGACTAATAGCTGGGAAACCAACATATGACAGACCGAGACTCCCTGATTATAGCTGTCAGTTAGGAGGCCTGGGCAATCTGTGGGACCTCTAGCCGTGGATCAGTATTTATCCCTAGGATACGAATGGAATTTGGGAGCCCATTCCACATAAAGAGATACTCTCTCAGCCTATGCACATGCAGGATGGCCTAGGCCCTTCTCCTAATGATATGACACTTTAAAGATCCCCATGGAAGAGCTCACCCTCCCTTGGGAGGAGTAAGGGAATAGGATAGGAGGTTGGTGGGGGGGTAGGAGAGTATGGGAGTGTGAAGAAACTGAGATTGACATGTAAAACAAAGTTGTTTCTAATTTAAATTGAAAAAAATGAAAAAATGGACATATACAAATTATTAAATACTGTTTGAAAATTTATTTTAATCGTTAATATTTTCCTTCTAAACAAAAACTCTAAAGTTTAACTCATATTCAAGGTCATTCAAAGCTACAGAAGAAATATATGTTAGTGGGTGGGTATCATAAACCCAAGTAGACTTTAGTACAGATTATCAAATGCTGCTCATCACATAAGACTCCCATGAATGCAATTAATTGTAGTAGAGTCTGAAAAGGCTTCAATTACCTCTCTCTCTCTTCTCAAGAATGTTATTCTGACAAAACTAGAAAAGGCCTATTCATTTTATTGATAAAGTGATTTAATGGGAAAAATAATCAAATGCATAGCTGTCAATAGAGACAGAAGAAGATATATATTGTCATCTAGAAAAACTAAGTATTTCACAGTACACTTTGATATAATTTTGAGATTCAGTACCCTTTTGCGAGTGCCCCTTTAGAACAATGATGACTGTCTTTAAAAAGAGACAGAAGTGAATGAAACAGAAAATTTACTGGGTTATTATTATAGCTCAGTGTGTAAAACTGATTGTCATGTAAGTTTGTCCTACTGCATTTGATCATCACAACCTGAGACAGAAGAAAATAATTCCTGAAAGTTGTCACCTGGCCTCCATGTAAGCACTGCTGCATGCACACCCTTAATTCACAAAATGGTAAATAAAGTAGGTGTAAATCAAATTAACATTTTGGAATGTCAAACTGTTACACTCTGAATGTGATAAAGACTTTACCACACATCTTGTGAAGGATAAAATTAATAAATTTATGGAAAAATATATCCCTAATTTCCTAAATTGTAGAATAGGAAATGTAACGAATATGTTCAACTAATAGATTTGTGTAATCATTTTTAAACATATAGACATCTATTTACAACAGCGAACAAATTGAATCTTCACAATATTTTAATGGAAGTGTACAATTAAATAACTTTTTAAATATCATAGTAAAACATACTAGAACAAATCATCCTGAAAAGTGCTTGACTATGAGACTGTCATGATACTGTCTTTTCTTACTGACTTACCATTGTCTTGACCAGCTCATATGGTATTAAACATTACTAAGAAAGAAACAAGCAATATTCTGGAGAAGTGGAGCAAAGGAGGAAGGAAGACAACATCGTCTTCTTGGTAAATACAAATATCAAGAAAACATTTAACTATTAAGAAATGG